ACAGAGTGGTGACTTGTGAGTGGCCTTATTCCCAGCTCTCACCTTCAACGGCTTGTGTCTCACTTTTGGTCAAGCAGGCTGAGAGGTTGGTGATGTCACCTTTCCAAATGGAGACTGGCCACTTGCATCTGTTAGAACTCTCTCAGAGCGGGGCTTGGGCTGCAGATGGGACTTTTACTCAAGAGAAATGTGTCCAGATGGGAGAGACTGGTCCCCTTCCTTATTCTGTCCTGACCCAGGCTTCCATACAAACCACGTCCTATAGCTGAGCTAGTGGGGCAGTGAGCATGGCTTAGGAGCCAGTGGTGCTTGCATCACAACACAGAGCTTTAGTCTAAGAAGGACAGCAGAGTCACTCTTTCTCTGTGGCACGTCTGAGCCAGTTAGCGATGGCTGCTGTGCATGGTGTACCCAGCACCCACAGCACCGCGAGAATATCTGTAAGCACTTGCCTTTAGGGTGCTGTGGTTGACGGGGTTGGCCTGCTCCAGTTGAGTTTCAAGGGAGGTGGTTCTGCTTCTCAGGGCCTGTCTGTGAGTCACCCATGTCTGCAGACGCGACTGGCCTCTGCTCCTCATTTTTTTCAGTCTCCTCGGACCAGAAGACCAGTCAGGGATGTGCGCTTGTGGCACTGTTAGATGCACAGGAGGGCGTCAGAGCTGTCTGAGGCCACAGAGGCCTGGGCTTGGCACTGGCGCACTGTCCATTTTACCCACACGTCACTGCCAGAGCCAGTAAGATGGCTACACAAGCCAGGGAACACATACCTTGCAGGAGGACACTGTGGCACAGGAAAAGATGCAGGGAGCGGGAAGAATCAGCATCTCCCCCATCCCAGCTGAGGCCAGCATCGCTTGCAGCTAGCACTGTCATGGGAGGAGTGAGGAGATGGGCAAAATGGTCATCATCATAGCCCAGCAGAGGTCTGGTCCCTGGCCAAGGAGTATTGAATATTCCTAGTGATGAATTAGCAGTGTCTTCCCAGCTTGGTTGTGAGCCTGTCCCGTGCCAGATGCTTTGGGGGAGATAAACCCTGTGTGTATTTTCGAAGTCACTGTCTTGCAAGAGATAAAAAACTGTTCAAAGGTAATGGTCAGTTGTGTAATGCAGGTAGTGGGGTTCAGAGAAAGGGGAGTCAGGAAGGGCTGGGAAAAAAACTAGACGGGGAGAGGAGTGACAGCAACGGCGACATCCAGGAGCACATGCAGCCCGCCAGGTTCTTCCATGTCTTTCTCCCTCTCCTGATTGCTCAAGATGTGCCAGGATTGTGCCCAATTTAACAAATGAAGAAACAGAGGCACGAGCTCAGGTAACTCGCCTATGGCCAACCCCGACACCAGCACTGGAAAGTCAGGGTCTGAGTGTTAGCTGCTCGGGTCCATGGCCAGGCACCTGAGGGGACAGGGACCTCAAAGACAGATGTGCAGAGAGGCCAACCACCAGGGAGGCGGAGCTGCCAAGGGGACACCAGCCATGGTACGAACTATAAATGGGAGCAAAGATAGGATGTGCGATTTGGCCAAGGTCCTGCAACAAGATCGAGTGGAGGCTGGGAGAAAGCCTGGCATTGGCTCCTGTTCCCTTGCCTGCCACTTTGCTTGGTACCGGCAGGTTCTGGGCGCTCTCCACCGTCTGCGCGGCCACGCCTGCAGCGCTTCCCTCTTGGAAGAGGTGCGATCCACTGGCGATGGAGCTGGGTGGACTGGCTCCCTTTCTATCCCTCTCTTTCTTCCTTTCCCCTGCCATGTTCTGGAAAGGGCAGCGGGAGGGAATGTGGGCAGGTTGCACCAGAGATATACATCTGAGAGCTGAAGGGAACATTTATTTTTAATGTAGACTTAAAAAGAAAAAAGGAAGTTATAAAATATCTGCTCTTGCTCCTGGGATTGTGCAGATGGTGCTGCGTTTTGCCTAATAGGGAACGGGGCTGGCATCGCATCTGCTGGTCCCCACCCGGCTATAAGGACCTGGGAGGCAGCATTCCTGCTCCCCAGCCTCAGTCCCAGTGGCTCCCTGGGATCTGTTTGGCAGCACAACTTACCACTCACTTCTTCTGAGCTTTTACCCTCTCCAGACTGCCTTCTGCCAATTTCCCAGGCCTCCTCCTAGCCAGGACAGTCATTACCCCTGTGTCTCCTGCATACGAACACACACACACCTTGAAGCTCAATTTTACCTCCTCCTGCAGCAGATAATGTGGGCATTCTGACCTGCCTTTCCTGGGCCCCTGTTTGGTTGTTAGGTTGACCAACATTTCACACGACCACATGTCCCATTAATCCACCTTGCCATTTTCCTGAGTGTATAAAGGACCTTCTTACACACTTCTTTGTTAGGTCTTTGTGTTAGTTGTGGTTAGGAATCACGATCCTCTTCTCTGCTGTTACACACTGGGAGACAGTGCTCCATAAATAAGCTGAGGTGGTGGCTGAACCCCTCTTCCTTTGTGCTCAGGTGAACTGGAGAAGTATCCTAAAGTCAGAATGGGGCAAGCAAGCCAGGGATCAGGACACCCGAGTCTTTCTCTATAAAGATGGGAGGATCACTGAATTTCTCTAAGTCTGTTTCCCCATTTGTAAAATATGGAAAATAATCTCTATTTTTTTTCTGATCCCCAGAGTTATGATGAGGTGGTGACATATGGGAAAATGCTTGGCAAAAATCAATCTCTTTGGGAAACATGAGATTTGTTAAAGCAATTGAGGTGCCACATGGACACCAGGCCTATGTTAGGGCAGAAAGTAGATGGGAGTTGTCCAAAAAGGTGGAAAGTTCATGTGTGTGTGTGTGTGTGTGTGTGTGTGTGTGTAAATATAGCCTGGCTACTAGTGCTAGTTCAGTTTAGGACTCAGAATTTTTCTGGAAAATACTTGATGATACTTTTTAAAACTCATTCCACAAATAAGGCAAGTGAAGGTGAAAATGAAACACAAAAACTCCTGGGGAGGGGAAGATAAGATGAATCCAGGACTGAGCTCTGGGCCCAGAAAATGTCCCAGGTGGGTGTGTCCCCTGGGCAGATGTGGTGGTGCAGAGTGGCCCAGGTTTCTGGATGGTCAGTGCAAAGAGCTGTAGGTAAATGGTCCAGGATCTGTAAACCAGTTGCTCAGAAGTGTAATTTCTGACTTGAGACCAGAAAGGGTTCCTCCCAAGGGGATCCATGAAGAGGACCCTGTGATACAGTGAGCACAGTCCTCTGAGGTGTGTTGCGTACATGACCACTTCCGCACAATGAACGTGATCATTATGTATTGCAAACAAGTCCCCTGACTTTCAGTCTGGTTCTCTGAGCTGCCACTGCAAAGACAAACTGAACGGAAATCCTATTCTAGGAGAAAAATCTCATAAGAGAACTCACTGGTGCTACAAAATGGCTTTGCATTATATAATTTTATTCAAACTGATATGCGCCAATAAATATAAATGTGCGTGTGTTCACTGTTTTAAAACATTTTAATGTTTAAAACATGATTTACTAATGCTACTGACGATGTCTAGAGTTTGATTTACAGCATAGTATTGAATGTTTATACTTGTTCCTTACAGATATTCTTGCCAAAGAGCCATTTTATCTATAGGAATAATAAATAAGTCAATATGTGGATGGTTGTGCACATTTTTCCCATCCGCAGTGGTACTTGGTAGATGTTATTTTTTTCTTTTTGCAGAATATTTATTAAGGTTGTTTTATATACAGCTTTTCGTGTCATTCTGGATGTCCTTCACTATAAAGATAATTCTTTGTTTGATTACAAACAGCCACAACCATTCTGGACCTCCACGTTGGATAAACTCCATTTCCTCTTGAGAAATTAGTTTCCTTCTGTGTTTCTGAGGTAGCGTTTTTAGTATTTATGCAGGGTCTGGTGGACCTGGATGCATCAGCAGCTATGGTGATTTACTCCCCTTCTAAGGCTAAAGTTACAGAAGAGTGAGATGATCCCTGCTGATCTCAAAGCTTCTGATACACTGGGTTTGGGATTGTCTTTTCTATCAGGGAACCTTATTAACGGTGTACGTGGCTTGATGACCTGAATGACCAGGCTGGTAGACGCCATCTTGCTGCCCATCATGATCCCGGGGAATGGGCAGCTTCCGGGGTGCGAGTGCACTGCTTTGGTATCCGGAGTCGCTGGCAGCTGGGGGTGGGGATTCCATTAGTAGATGTTATTTTGCACACTAACACTTTAAAGATAATCTTAAGTGACATAATGGATTCCTGAAGTCCAATGCATGGCTAGGGTCAAGATCACAGCTAATTTTGAGCTAAACCAAAAAAGTAGTGAGTGAGGCTAGCTCTCAGGTGCTATTTGGAAGTAATGGATCCACCCTGTGTGTTCATATGTAGTCTCACGCATGTATCTATTCATTTTTTCATGCCTTCATCAGTCACTCAGTTACCATTTACTAGACAGCTATCTCCATTCAGTAGGTTAAACATAGTGTAAGTTTTCACTAAGATTCAGACATAACAAAGTCCCCAAATTCTATTTATAAGTTACTGAAGGCATTTGAAATAATTATTTTTTCATTCCCACAAAAAATCCTCTAGGATGGCTAGGGCACAAAGTTCAGGTCACCTGAGTGGACATGGAAGTGTTCCTTTGTTTGCATGTTTATTTTTACTGACTCCTCTAAATTATGGAAAGAATGCTTTTCTCCCACTAAAAAGAATAGAGAAATACTTAAGAAGAATGTGAGGAACTAGCCTGTGATGTGCTTCAGAGAAATCCACAGTTAATGGTCAGGCCATGCTACAGACATGCTTGGAGACATATATGTACGTGTGTTTGGGTATATAGCTATGTATTAGTTTTTCTGTACATAAACAGAACTCGGCTATAATATAATCCTGCATCTTGACTGTTTTCATTGTACCATCTCATGGGAATGGGTTAGTGCAGGTCCGGCTCATTTTTGTTCACAGCTGTGTATTTTTTCTGTGCAGCAGTGTGGAATGTTCCTTTTGCTGTCTTCAGCCTGTTCCTCTCTTGATCTAGGTTGTAGGTCTTCTCCTGCCCAACCAGACTCTGGCATCCACTGTCTTCTGGCAGGTAAGGGTCTCCACAGCAGAAGGCTCCCCAAGAAGCAATCCAGACAAGTGCCATTTGGGAACTTCCTGCCCCAGAGTGTCTTGCTCTGTGCAGGCCCCATCTCCAGCCCAGATATTACTGGAGAAAATAACCAAGCCAGCTGAACAGGCTTCTACCAGCCCAACATGACTTTGACTGTTACTTGTCACTCTGACCTTTGGATGGAGGTGATGAAGGAACTGGATGCCTTGCCTGGAGTATGATGGCTCGTTGGTGGCAGTCCTCTCTGTCCCTTGATTGTGTGTCTGGGGATCTGAGGTTCACGGCCTCATTTTGACATCAGTTCACTTAAATCTGTGGGTGAAGATTGAACCACTGCTATCCCAAGGTAGTGAAGTGCATCACAGATGCCTGTCCTCTGCTTGTGGGAACAGTCCAGTCAGAGCCCGCTGAAAACAGTGAGGATGACTCTGTGTTTGCAGAGCAAACACATGGAAAGAAAACCTGTCTTTTCAGGAAAAACATTCGGAAAGCTTCCCTTTATGAAGCTGCTAAGAGTCTCTATGCCTGGGCATTGGGGAGGTGCACAGCTAGGAGTGTGGGAAGAAGGGGCACCGCTGTTAGTTACTCCACCTTCTGTACTCTATGATTGTGATGTGGCCGAGGTGCTGGGGCAGTGGATGCCACCGTTCCAATAGAGAGGCCTGACTTCATGGGCTGGGCTGACTCCTGCTGTAGTTCGGCAGGAAATGAGGGTTTTTGTGAGACTCAACACTTCCAATGCTGATGGTGGCATAACCCTAGGAAAACTGGATCAGTTGGGCATGCCAACCAGTGTTGTGGAGCTGGAGACTGTCCTATGTCTTTCTGGGTATGTGTGGCCTTCCAGGAATGTGACCACTCTGATATCTTCTCTCCCTGCTGCCTTTCAGTGGCTGAACCAGAGTCATAATGCCTGTGTCAACTATGCAAACCGAAATGCTACCAAGGTGAGTATCCCTGCCCTCCACCTAGGGGTGGGTCCAGACTGGGGGAAGCCAGTGCTCCCTACATTGTGATGGACCAATGTCACTGGTGTTAGCACTGCCCTCCTGTAGGACCTTATTTATACTGCCAGCTCCTCTGGCTAGCTGGAGCGGATTGGAGCCTCCAGGCAGGGCCCACCTGCTGGGAGAGCACTGGTGGCACCAACTGAAGGGATCTTATAAAGGAGGGTGTTTGAGTAGTCATGCATGGGATGCATTCTCCTGGCTTAGAATTCTCCTTGGGCAGCTCTTACTCTCAGACTGTGGACTCAGATGGGATGAGTGCCCTGGGCAGTAAATTCCCCTAGAGTGTGGGCCAGCCTAGAAGCTGCCTCAGTGCCCCAGTTCCCAGACTGCTGTCCACAAAGCTTAAGGGCTGTTCTTGAGGGATAGGGGTATAAGAGGCCTGGCACATTTTCCCTCAAGTCCTCTGTACCCTGGAACAAGTCCATGGTGGACGTCTGGTCAGTGTTCTGTTGTCCAGGAAGGGCTGCTGGGTCCCTGCTTTGCTGGCAAAGTCACTTTTCTTCCTGACCAATTATTTACTTCAATCCAAAGGCCAAGGGCAGAGAGAGGGAATCCAGATCTCTCTTGGGGGATGTCAGGTTGGGAAAGGGAGGACCTTAGCATTTTCTGATGCTAGAGAAGAGCATTAGAAGCTTGCCTGGGCATCAAGAACTTAAGGATCGTCCTGAGACTCAGGATGCTGTCCAGCTTCTATGCCTGCAGGCTTCACATGCATGCCTCTCTGCTGGGCTGGCTCCTGTTTACCTTAAACCAAATGTCTCCAAGATTGCAGCTGCAGTAAAAGACATGTCCCTTTGCTTTTTTCTTTTTCCTTAATTTTGTGTTGGAACTTGGGATCTGTTTTTGTATAAAAATACTATCACCTACTGACAAGGGATCCCAGAAGCTGCCTGTGTTGTGAGAGCCAGCCGGTCACTAGCCCTGACACTATTGTTCCACCTAGACTGCTCCCAGTGCTAGACACACACTGGCCTGCCTACACTGGAGCTCACTGCCCAGCTGTAGAAAACCCATTCTGGCCTGGCTTTCCCTGCCTCCAGCCTTCAGTCTGCCTCTGACTGCTCTACATCAGGGCAGAAGGGGAGTGGCCCTTCCACACCTCCCTGGACATTGCTCCCGTGTGTCCGCACATTTGGAGCTGCTGGGGTGATTTGCAAGGGTGGTGTGCGGAGCACCGGGTACCCAGTGGGCCTGCAGTTCTGCATCTATTTTCCAGCCTTCCCCAGCATCCAAGTTCATCCAGGGTTACCTGGGAGCTGTCATCAGTGCCGTCTCCATCGCCGTGAGTAACTCCTTGCCGAACCCCTCAGTCTGTAGCTTTTGACCCCTCTCAGCACTGCAAGGGGACTCTTGTGCCAGGGCCAGGGCTAGGAAGGATGAACAGATAGGATCCGTGGGAGTGGGAGGGGGACACTTGCCTGGCAGGGAAAGGTGACAGCCAAAGCCACACTCCAGCGTTTGGAGGGAGGTGGAACTATTCCTCTTCCTCAGGCTCGCAGGTCAGCACGTTTGCCCTCAGTCTTCCTGGAGCTGCTGGCCTTCACACACAGGGGTGCAGTCCACACTCTGTTGGCCCATTCGCTCTTTGTCTGAGCTCCTTCTCATTCCCCTCCATGGCCATTCTCATGTGGTTATTGTCCAGCCCATCCTGAAGGACTGCAGGCTCCCAAAGACAAGGACATTAGGCTCACTTTGAGCCTCCATAAAACTCCGGGAATAGGGGAGTTTGTAGATGGACTGAGCAAATGTAGATAAATGGTGGGTCCTTGCTCTCAAAGAGGGTAGAGAAACAGTGACATAGCTAGGGGCCTGGGCCTTCCCAGAGGGGAAGATCAGACTCGTAGAACCTGGTCCAGCTCTGATCCCACTCCTGTGCCTATGTCTGGCACTGTCTACATCCCCACTGGGGCGAGCTCCTGTGGTCAGCTCCAGAAGCCAAAATCTCCTGCAACTTTGATGTTTTGTTCATCATACAATGCGTTCATATAATCCGTAGAAAACATTGGAAAATTCAAGTAAAAACACAAATATAATAAAAAAATTCATATATATTACTCTTTTGGTAAAACCCTTTCCTTATCTTCCCCGTGGTCTTAAATAAATATAATGGTTTGTGACTATGAAAAAAAGCATCATATCCTACCCCACACTCAGTTTTGTTGTTTTTCTAAAGTAAAGATTTCAGGTTGCCCTGAAGTGTCCTTATTTATTTCACTCTCACATGGACCAAGTCACTTCCAAATGGCTGTTAGTGGCCATCACGTACCCAGGATCTCTTTCCTTCCCTAAGCTCTGACATCTTTCTGCCTGCAGGAAGCCACGTGTTAGCAAATCTATGTAGATGGTTCACCAAGAGACGGCCACCCCACCCTGGTAGCCTTAGAGCTCAGCATGGGGCTTACTTTGCTGGGAATCAGACAAATTGGGAGAATTGGGGTTCCTGTTTTGGGGGCTTCTTGAGCCAGGATCAGAGCCACTTAAAATGAGAGGAGCTGACCCATGGTCTTCCCAGCGTAGCAGCTGGAAAACTCCCTTTTCTCCTTGGAGATGTACAGAGGGAGAGGGAGAGGTCACAGCAGGGAGGAAGCTGAGTGACTCCGAAGAGCTTGAAGGAAGGGGATGTCTGTCCTGGAGGAGCTTCCATCCCCTACAAGCCTGGAGCCCTGGCAGAAGAGTTCTGCTTCTGCAGAGAGCTTGGGACTCTGTGTCCCTAGTCCCTGTCACCCCACAAATAGAACCTCGGTCATGCCATGCAATCACTTTCCAGGGCCACACTTGGCCCACATTGGTGGGTGGAGAGTCTAGACAGGGCCCATCAGAATTAGCATGGACGTGGAGTCTCCAGGACTCCCGAGCTGAGGTCTCTCCAGCAGGACCTGGGGGCCTTGCTGTGGACGGCGCTGCGTGGGGACGCGCTCTGCCCTCCTCTTTCCTCTGTGTCTAGTTAGAGTCCGCTGGCTACTCCAGCCCACGCTGCCCTTCCCCAGCCCAAATCCAAAACCCTTTATTCTTCCCACACTCTCAATTGTGCCCCGTGTCCCTGTCCTCTTATTGTTCCACAGCCTGAGACTCTGTCCTCAGCTGGATTACAAGTTAACCAGGGACAGACCCCAGGTCTCCTCAGAGGGGAGCACGGAGCACTGCTCCATAAATACTACTAATTAGGCTGCTGATTGATCGCTGACCTCGGGAGGCCCCTCTCCTTTCCCATCCACGAGCCTTAGCGTGGCCTGGCAGGTCTCTGCCTGACATCTTCACACAGTGAGGGGCTCACTTCGGCAGATGGAGTGGAGTTTCTGACTTGGAAAATCTGCAGCTCGCTTGCTTCTCTCTTGTGTGTATAAATCACAAAACCTCCAAAGAAACAGGCTTTGTTTTATTTTCCTTTCTCTTGTTCTCTGGAACCCCAGGCCCTGCGGCCTCATTAACTGATCTCTGCTTCAATTAGTGACAAATTCTCTCCCAGGGCGAGCCTGTTAGGAAGAGATGACCTGCAAACAAGTGTCACGGCCCCAGTGGTTGGCCTCGCTCTGGCATTAATTAAAACGAGTCCCCACAAGCAGGCAGTCTGGATGAGGCTGACAGGCTGAGAGCAGGTTCCAGGGTCTGAGGTGACTTGGGTGAAGGCCAGGCCTTGAGAAGTCAGCCTCTGTGGATCTTGAATGGTCCTTGCTCCCTCCCAGAAGAGCTCCTGGCATTGGCCAGCATCCCTCGAGTCAGGCATCCCCAGTCTGCAGGTCCCCAAGTGAAGTCTCATGATAGCTCCAGGACCACCAGGGTTAGGAGCCTTTCAGTGAACCTCCTAAATAGATTTGGCAATGTCTGATTTCTTGCTTGAGAATAAAAAAGAAATTCCGTCTTAAGTTATTTTTGAAATCTAACAGTTTGCTGTCTTTTAACAAAGGAAGCCTCTCTCCATCCGCATTGTGTTTTTGTCCCGGAGTTTATATGGAACATTTTAGTCCTCACTGGCTCTACCAGGGCAAGAGAATGGGTGAGACCCCTGGTGCCTTGCAGGGAGTGCTATGTGCCTGGCACTCTGCAGGTCCAGGACCACAGCTGATGTGACCATCAGGGTGCCAGGGTGGGAAACCTGGGGCGCTATGTGGTGTGGTCCGAACTGTTCTGGTGAGGTTGACTCTAGGACAGGGCGGGACCAGAAGGGCACCTCTGTCACAGTCTGTGGGTTGATTTGTAGGACAGATGGAGAGAGCCAGGGAACAGTGGTGCTAAGTGTCCCAGAGAGAGTGAGAGGGCACAGCGAGCATGCAGAGACCCACAGGAGAGACACAGGTCCCAGGCACGGTCAAAAAGTATCTGCTGTGAGGGGTCAAGGCTGAAGAGGTCATGGGGACAGAGCAAAGAAGTAGGGCGGTCCAGTGTGAGTAACTGTCTTGCCGAGGAGGACACAGGTCACACCAAGAACCCAACCCGGTTCAGGGCCTGGGCGGAAATTTGCTGGAGGAGAAATCATAGGCAAGGAGGGGTTTGGCAGGTACTGTACCGACTATTGATGAACACAGGGGCCTGGGTAAGGGGCCTGGGACAGGGGAGGAAGACTCAGGGCTGAAGTCCTCCAGGAACAGTCAGGTGCTGGTCAGTGGAGCCAGACGATGGAGATGCTTCATTCCTTGACAGGGTGAACCCTGCCTCTTCCTGTTCTCACTGCTGACTGGTGACTCCATGGTAACTGGCTGTGTCCCCTTGGTGGTCAGACTGGCAGATAATCATAGTAATAGTGCCAATGGCTAACACGTGAGGAATGCCTACTGTGCCAGGCACTATTTAGGTATTTGTCCCTATTTTTCAGGTGAGGAAACTGAGGTACAGGGTGACAGTGATAGAACCTACCCAGGCTTACTCACAAAGTTGACACAAAACCCCCTCTTCCCCCTGCCACCCCAGTGGCATGAAGAGACCGAAAAAAGCCAACAGTGTTTCAGCTTCCATGCTGGAGGAGCTGACACCATGCCCTTGATTGGCAGATCCTTCCCAGGTACTCTTGAGAGCAGTGGAAAACAGTTTTTAAGAGGCTTGTCAGACCCGCTGTGCCCCTTCAGACGCCGGGCTTCCGTTTTCCGGCCAAAGTCAAGCCAGCAGCAATTTACTGTCCCTGCTCCAGAGCTGCCCTGCCTCCTGCAAGACAGGCCCTCGCTGGCTCTGTGGCAGCGTGGACCCCAGGCCCTTCTGTTCTTCTCCGGGCCTGGGGGATTCAGCATCTGTGAATTCTGGACCAGACTCGTGTGCTTTCGCTACGAGTGGCTGCTGGGTTGGAGGGGCCGTCACATGGACCCCGTGGCAGCATCTGAAGTGTTCCAGAAGCCTGCAGATGGTGATGTTGGCAGTGGCGAGTCTGGCAAGAAGCATGGCTCTGAATCTATTCTGGGGAGGACAAGTTGCTGTCCCCCTCTTACACGGAAGGGTTTGATGTAATTAGTTTCCTCCATCCTGGTCTTTGTGGGGCCTGGTTCAGGGTCAGGGTTGGCTACTAGGAAACAAACCGCTGAGCTGCAGCTGGAGCTGACTGGTGCTTGAGCCTGTGCATAACTGTCTCAACCACTTGTCACTTTGCTACTGAGCCCATTGCCAAGCAGCAAAGCTGGCTCAGCTGGCTGGGGTTGAAGGACTATTGACCTCTAGGGAGAGTCATGGGTCGGCTTGATAACCAAATTTAGTCTACGGAGTGCGCCCTCTGGTGGGTATTTTTGGTAATTCGGAGCCCCAGCCTTTGGCCCCCAGAACCCACCCAAACCCCTGAGCATTTGTGCGCTGGTAGTGACCATCCAAGAGTGGGTATAAATTCTGATCTCATACCATCCCTCCTGTGGCATATTCCGTCCTCACAGGCAGTTCTCTTTGTGGCTCTTGTTTGTTCTCTTCCTGCCTCAGAGATCACTTGATTTATTCTAAAAGCATTTTTTTTTTTTTTTTTTTTTTTGCAGTACCGTGGATTGAACTCACAACCTCGCACTTGCCAGGCAGGCGCTTATGCCGCTGAGCTAAATCCCTGGCCCCTAAAAGCATTTTTTAAGCCCTTACTCATTTCACCTTACACTCAAGTTCAGTGACAAATAAGAGAGATATAGGCCCTGTGCCCTGGTACTTAAGGTCTGTTGGGAGACATGGATCTTTAGTAAAGAGTTTACAGGTAAAAGCATTTCTGTGCTACTAAGTTTTTACCTCAGATAGTATTATTTTCATTTAGAAATTTGTGAGAAGATAAACAAATATGTACTAAGATACTGCAAGAGGCACACGCAAGAAAAACTTCAGACTTACCGAGAGATTGTCAAAGGGGGCTCTGAGCTGAGAGGCCTGAGGCTGAAAGCAGGGGGCAGGTCACGGAGGGACAGCACGGGAAGGCCTGGGATGAGGGTGGGGTGGGAATTGGCTTACAAAAGGAAAAGGGAGAAAGCCAGGTGCCCGGAGCCCTGGAAACAAACAAGGTTGAATGGCCACAGAGGGTGTGCGGCTTCTAAGAGCTGTGAGATGTCCCTGAAGGTCATTGCAGAGTCTCTCTGTTCAGGTTACTGTAGCTGCTGAGTAGAGCAGATGGGAGAGACAGGACTAGAACAGGGAGCCTGATTAGGAGGAGGGCAGTCCTGTGAGAAGAGATGGTGAATGCTAAGTAGGAACAGAGGTGCATTCAAGATGTCCAGGAGCTAGACCAGGTAGCCTTGGAGGAGTTGTGGGCCCAGAGAGGCGCTGGTCCAGGAGAAGCCCAAGGTGTCTGGCAGGAGAAGCTGAGCTGGCGAAGTAGACAGTGTATGGGCGAGGCGGAGCTCGAAACCCCCCACTGGGTGGCATGCTGATGCCCTTGGAAACAGAGGCTTCCCCAGGCAGCGGCCTGTGTGGCTGGAGTAGAGGATGCAGCTGGGTGAGACAGGAATACTGTTACTTCAGCCCCACACAGTGTGTCCTTGGAGGAACGAGGCTGCTCTTGACCTAGAAAGATGTTGATATGCAAGGATGCAGCTCTGGCTGTGTGGCTCATTACACTGAAAGATTTGTGTCATGACTCTCACCCCTACCTACTGTTCTTGGAGCTGGTTAGCTCTTTTCTCATCTTATGGGAAATTGCTTTTGCTAAGTAAGCAGCCAGTCTTAAGTGTCATGCAGACATTAAGGATCATTCCTTGAGAAGGGCAATTGGAGGGTAAATAGTATATTGCTAAAGGTGAAGCTCATGGAGAATGGGGTGAAATTCAGCAAGCCACATGTGTGTATCTGAGAACAGGCCAAGCCCAGGGTAAGGGCCAGGGGTCAGCAATGTGAGTCTACCCGGAGACACAGCAGTCACCCTGCTCACTGTCCAGCAATGGGCCTAGAGGCAGGGATGACACCTACAAAGAGGAAGCAAATGACTCTTACTGTCCTGCCTAAGGCCCCAGCCAAAGTCTACTGCCCCAGTACCTTGGACAGCCATAACCTAGGCAGGAGCCCAGGGTGGGCTGCAGACCAGGGGCTGGGTACCCGTCTGTTCTGGTTCCTTAGGGCCTCTTGGCCTGGAACATTTGGCAAAGCCCATTAAAATTAAAAAGCAAAGTGACTGGGGGCTCAGAATGCCAGCTCGTTTTCCCTGGCATGGTGGGTCCTGTTTAAGGGAACCAGCTGGCATTAATGGCACACAACTCATCATGAACAGCAGCTAGCGATCAGAAAAATCAGAGCTAATAATCAGGTTTGGGAAAGATAATGAGATATGGAACAATCACTGCTGAGGGTCCCCTAGGGTCTGTTTTAACAGCCTCCAAATAGGCTACAAAATAGAAATTAACCAAACAGGGGCTCCATTTGGGCAGAGCGGGAAAACAAACAAGGTGCAGATTTGCACAAGAATTCCTCATGTGGCCAAGCACAAGCCTAGAACCCATGGGACAGCAGCTACGGCCTGGAAGAAGCCAGGGGCCTTCTCTGAGTGTTCCTTATCTCTGACCACCAGGCCAGTGTGGCTGCCAGAAGGAGGAAGAGGAGGTAGGGGAGCAGGAGGAGAGAAGGGTCCGGGGTCTAGCAACAAGCGATGACCTCTGCTCCTCCTTGCCCTCCTGCCACACCTTGGCCCTGCCTGCCCCTAAGAGGCTACAGTGGGGAAGGTTCCAGAAAGCTCCAGATCTCCTTGCTGGCTTCCAGAATGGCTCCTTCTCTCCCCTCACCTACAGATATCCTCATCCTTCCAAGGGAGTGTGTGAGGCTTTGAACACCAGCCTTCGGACCTCTAGCTGGAGGGAATGGGATGGCTTAAAGGACCTATCTTCTCTTTCTCTCTCCTCTGGACCCCTGCTTCGGTGGGCCTTTGCCAGGGTGTTTCATGCTGTGTGCAAGCAGCCAGTCTTAAATGGCACGCAGGCATCACAGAATCATTCCTTGAAAAGAAGGACATTTGGAAAGTAAGAAATGAAAGTTGGGATTGAAGCTTTGGAACTAGCAGGCTGGGGTTCGGGTCCTAGCTCTAACTGCCTCAGCATGGCTGACCTCCGAAAATCCTCTAACCTCTCTAAACCTGCCTATAATCTGCAAAAAGGGGCAACATGGCCCTTTTCATTAAGACACTGCCTGTAGATGTGTGCTGAGTGGTGCAGAGGTCCCAGACCCCTGCCTCCGCCAGGCTGTCAGTGTTGGTGCCTGACCACGTAACTTCTGGCTCCCTCCATGGTTTCCTGCTCTGCACTTTTTCTTTTTTTTGGAGGTGCAGGGGGTATGTCTGAGTCTTTCTGAGCCGGGGAGACCTGGACATAGTGAGCTCCACTGGTGACAGAGCAGCAAGGGCCAAGATAGCTGGCAGTAGCTCAGGCCTTCCCCTACTATACTAATGAAGGGAGTCCAAGCTGCTGCCTATCTCCAGCAGTAAGGACAAGGATTGGACTCTTAACACCAGAATGTGGCTTAGACTGGAGGGCAGGGCTCTGAAACCCAGGCAGATAATGGATAATCACTTACCTGCCTAAGTCCCATTGTTAATATATGGTGCAGGTACAGAACTCAGAGCTGGGCCTGAAAAAATAGGTGTAGCCTGAGTTGGGGGTCAGATTCCAGACTAGAGACCAGCACTGGCAAAAGCCCTGCATCTAGAGACTCATGCAGCATCTGATGAACACAATATGGCCTTGCAGGGCTGCATGTGGGTGCTAGGAGTGGCGAGGGGTGGGGGTTGCACCTTCTCACGCAGGCTGTGGGGTGAAATTGCAGAGAGGGGGTGATCTCTGGCTGCTCTTCCTCTGGTTCCGCCCCCTTCCTCCCACAAGCTACTGCGGCACCATATACTACCTCTTTTTTTTTCTTTCCAAGGTGGGCCTTAATGTCCTGGTTCAGAAAGCCAACAAGTTCACCCCAGCCACCCGGCTTCTCGTCCAGAGATTTGTGCCATTCCCTGCTGTAGGTAAGACTTGCACAGTGCACAGACATCCTTGTGCCATGCATCGGGGAGAGGGGCTGCAGGCTCTCAGCCAGTTGGATGGACAGCTGTCCACACCTCCCCTGATGCCTCTGGGCTCCAGTTGGGGAACTGGAACAAAATGTTTTCAGGGATAAGAAAGGATGACAGTGGCCCACTGATCAGCTCCATGCCTGGGAGTTGGCTTTTACCACAAGAATTTCTTTGCCTGGGGTCCCTAGACCCTCAATGGTCAGTAGATAGAATGTAATGGATCTTAGGAACTTGGAAATAGTTACAGTAACTTCTACCTAAAATTTAACATTTCCTTCTAACACAAACGTACTCAGCAAACCACAGTGAGAAGCAGGACCTCTGGCTCTGTCACGGATAGAAATCACAGATACTTTCATATCCCATCATAGTTGTTACTCAGAGACCTTAAAATATCACTTATGCTCAACACTAATCCAAAATTATCTCATTGAATACATTGAGTGCTAGATTGTGTATTTTTAATTCATTACTTAAAAGCACATCTCAATCACAATTTTTAAATTTTGGCTAACTTGTTTCAATACAGTCCTTTTGTAGTCCTGTGAATTTTGTTTTATGCATTTAGAAAAATTATTCTGAGAGGGATACATAGGCCTCACCTGACTTCAGAGGGTTCCTTGGCACAAAAGAAGGTTTGAGCTTCTGCTGGGCCCTGGGGTTGCTGCAAAGCCCAAGTGGGCTTTTAAGAAGCCTATACCGTAAGGAAAAAATTTCCAAAAAAGAAATAGATAATATCAGAAGCAGTGCACAGTTAGTTGTTAGAAGAAAGGAATAAGCAAATGCTTGAACCCTAAACCAGAGCTCCCTCCAGGTACCTGAGAACAAAGGTTACGGACAAGCACAGGGGCCAAAAACCCCTAACTTCCCAGGTACCAAGACTCAGTGTGAGGGGCCCAGAGTCAGACCCAGCTCATGGCCCTGACCTAATCTTCACCCAAGGGCTCAGCTGCCCCATCCTTTTACCCCCTAGCCCACCCGACCCCACTACCCCCATCTGTAAAATGCAGACACCAGTACCCACCTCCTACAGACAAGAGCTCAGGGAGGAGCAAGTGAGACCACAGACCAGATTCCACTGATTGGCGAGTGTTTCGGAGCACCTAAGAAGCCCATGAGAAGGTAGGAAGTCTTTCCTGGGCAGCCCCACCTCCCCCATGGCTCAGAGGCTCATAAACTCCTAGAACCAACCACCTAGCTAAGCCTCAGCCAACCCAGATAATTGCTATAGCAACTCCACACTTTTAATAAACTCCCAGCTATTTCTGTCATGGACCATTAATGGAATAACTCTTTAGATCTGACTTTGTTACGGGGCCTAACAGAGCAAATGTGGCTGCTCAACTGGTGTTTGTGGCCATTGGGGCTGGAGGGTCAGAAGCAGCCTGAGAAAGGGCAGCTCTTAGCTGCCCCAGACTGGATCTAAGGCTCACCGGAGATGTAATCTGTCCTTCACTGAGCTTCAGATAACAACTTTGCCACAGGCCCATTCCAGCCTGCTCTGCCACCATCTTGTTGTGTGACCTTGAGGTGGTTGTAAGCTCTCTGGGATTCCCCAGGAGGAAAGGCCTTTCCTTAGGTCTGAGCCTTTTTGGCCTGCCCCTCTTGGGCTCCTTCTGGATTCCTATCTCATTTCAGCCTTCTCTCACAAGTTGAGCCACTGGTGGGCATCTTGAGATCCTCCCATCCCGAGCCAGTTTGTAGCCCTGGTGGTCTTGGCTCACTAGAGTCCCATGAGAAGCTCATCGTTTCTGCAATCCAGGCCCATCAGTTGGGCAGTTGCCAGTGCCCCTTGTCATTGCAGACCCAGCGCTATGTGAGATGAAAAAATTGTGTCCCTCCCCAGCCAGGCTGAAAGGCCTCCACACCCAGCCCCTGCGCTTGGCCCACCTGTACCTTTTCCCAATGCCCTGGCCAAGTCTGAGCATCTCTAGGCTATGCTGTAGCTGTGGAGCATTGCCCTGCTTGGCATTCACCTCTGTCTCTGAGGCAGGTTGGGCACTGCTAAAGGCTGCTGAGAAGCTTACGCAGGACATGCTTCACTTTGTAAAAGCTTCACTTTGTCCCTTGGGGCCACTGGCATGGTGCAGGGGAGGGCAGGTCTCGGTGAGCAAGGTATGCAAGTGAAGCCCTGTTGTTGGGAGGGTGTGCGTGTGTGTGCGTGTGTGTGTGTGTGTGTGTGTGTGTGTGTGTGTGTGTAGTAAAAGGGGGTACCTGCAGTGACAGGGGTCCTAAGGAGGCCTGTGTGCCCTGTTCTCAGGCCATTCTGTCTGTCTATCTGTCTGTCTGTCTCTCTCTCTCTCTCTCTCTCTCTCTCTCCACACACACACTTTTCTCTGTCTCTCTTTTTGAGACAAAGTCGCTTAATGTAATTCAAGCCAGTCTTGAACTTACTTTGTAGCCCAGGCTGGACTCCAGCTAGCAGTGTGATCCTCTTGCCTCAGCCTCCCAAGTGCTGGGATTACAAGTGTCCACCACCACACCCAGCCCACACTCATTCTTGATCAGATGCAGAGAGGAGGAAGGAGATGTCTCTTCTTTGAGCTCCCTGCTGTTGACAGAGGTCTTCCTGTCCCTTTGTTTGCTGCTAGGATCTTTCCCACAGGCCCCCAGACCTCCCCTGAGTTTGCAGAGCCCTGTTCTCCCAGGGGTTACCGAGGCCTCTTCCCCCTCACCGGTCATGTGTGCTGTGATGCCCCAGAGACAGTGTGTGCCATATTCATTTTCCAGAAAAATAAGCAAATTCAAATTTGCTGAAAATTATACTGAGCTGACCCAAGCCCAGGCTCTCAGGCTTATCCCAGGGCCATTTCAAGCCTATGTGAATGACTCTGTAGCTGCGAGACTGAGGGTTGTGTCCAGAGGTGGTGAGGCCATTCAGTGTCCTGCCAGGTTTACCCCTGATTTGTTGAGGTGGAAATATGTGAGTGTGGTGTGCGTGTGCATATGTGTGTGACTGATGCCTCTGTGTGTGTGTGTGCATGCTGAGTGTGTAGGCAGCCCGGGGAAGCTTCTTGCAGCCACTTCGCTCTCTCAAGGTGGTTTAGAGCCATGCTGTGCCCCGGTCTAGAACAGCAGTCATGTGGGAAATCTCATTTTCTATTTATGCGTGGAGATGTTAGGAAAGACGGTGAGCCCGAAGCATGTGTGCTGGCATTGGAATCGATTGGGGACTGGTAATTAATTTGTTTAGACCTTAATTAATTCTCCAGTTCTTTCTTATTTGTGGACTGTCACGCTTAATTGTGTTCAGGAGCTCAAGCTTGGAGCAGGCCCTCCATTAATTGACGTGTGGTTGCTGCGAGGTGGGAGTTAATGGTTTGAGAAGCTGGGCAAACAGTGTAATTAAAGGTCAATGGAGGAGACACTGGAAAAACACACATCCCCAAGTCCAGCCGCAGGTCTCCCGGAGCAGACTTCATTCTAGAAGAGGCAGTCTCCACAAACAGCCTTTCTGAGGGACCATGGGAAAAGGTGCAAGAAGATGTCAACAGCAGGGAGAGAGCTGGGGGAGAGGGGTCCCCCAAGGGGACCCTGGTCAGCAGAACTGACACATCTGTTGTCAGGAGGGGGCACTTTAGAGAGATGAAGACCCTGGAGGTGACCTCAGCAAGCTCACCTCTAACGTTGGAAGCACAGGCTCTGTGTCTACATGGAAAGTCGCCAAAGGCTGCCTGGCTCGTCTCTGAGGGAAAGGGAACAGTGTGAGAGCCATGCACTACTATAGACCCCATCCTGTCCCTGAGCTCCTGATGGGGGAGGCCTGGGCCTTTGCCTCAGTCTCAGCCTGCTCTGCCTCCTTCTACAGAAGAATAACCTTTCCTGTGGATGGGAAATGCCAGTCTCAGCACTGATTTTGCTGGGAAATGGCTTCTTCTGGTGTTGTCTCCAGCCACCTCTTTTGTTAAATGTCAAAACATTAGTTTGTTACCGTGAAGGAAACTGTAAGCAGGTGCTCGGGGCATCTGGGCAGCCTATGGGAGAGGGTCTCCCTTTTGTTCATACCCAGCATGCCCTGCACCCCCTTTTACCCCCAGGCCACAAGGGTCTTGATGTCTTTGATTTACTCGGTGCTCAGGCTACCCCGCTAGTCCAGTAAGTGATCACTGCTCACTGTGTGAGCCTGAGGAGCCACCCAGTTCCAAGCACAGCTCCCAGGCCTGCTGCTTCTCCATCTGTTGTCCACTCTGAGAAAGAGACAGTAGAGTGTAACCATGGTACTTGTGTCCTGGGCCTTGTAATGTGCATTCCCTCCATCAAGGTCAGTAGTACTTCATGTGCCATTCTGGGCCCCGAGACGGCACTGCAGGCCATGTGCCTTCTCTGTCCTTGCCTCTTCCTATACTCCTTGCAGCCGTGGTGAATCCTGCCTCTTGCCTGCCTCTTGGTGGGTCCTAGGCCTTTGCACGTGGTTCTGCTAGACTGGATACCATGCTTTCCTGTCCTTGGCCCTATGGCCTGTGGAACTTGGCTCAGACACCTTCCCTCCAGGAGGCCCTCCCTGGGAGCCCCAGGTGGAGTTAGACTGCAGCACCCTGAGTGTGCCTATGTCTCATCAGGACTGCCTGGTTTATTTCCAAATTTGCATCTTTCATCAGACTGTGAGTACCCCAAGGCAGACACTGGGTCTCAGGGATCACTCTTCCCCAGGTCCCCTCAGAGCCCAGTGCATGGTCACTGCTAACTGTGGGATTGTTAAATAATCAAATGAGAACTTTGACACAAAAATTTTAGGTTGGTCACTTTCAGAGGAACTCCTGATGGCACTGGTGACTAGGTTCCATGACTGTCCAAACAGACATAGTGTGATCAGAAATTGTGGTGAGTGTTCAAAAACATTGTGGAACACATTTATCCCATTAAAAAGCCACATCACCACTAACGGCCCTCAGAATGCGTCCACTCACTTTGAACTCACTTACCCATGCTTCTTGCCACTTCTTTGGTACCAG